GTTCCCTCTCCCTTCTTGATTTCCAATGACTTATACTTCTCTCTGTGCCCATGTGTGCCCATCACTTACTTCCAAATTATTCGACAGTACATGCGGTGTTTGTTCTCCATTTTTTTTTTTTTTAAGATAGAATCTCACTCTGTCGCCCCAGGTAGAGGACAGAGGGGTCACCATAGCTCACTGCAACCTCAACTCCTGGGCTCAAGCGATCCTCCTGCCTCCGTCTCCTGCCTCAGCCTCCCAAGTGGCTGGGACTACAGGCAAGGGCCACCACACCTGGCTAATTTTTCTATTTTTAGTAGAGACGGGGTCTCACTGTTGCTCGGGCTGGTCTCCAACTCCTGACCTCAAGCGATCCTCCCGCCTCAGCCTCCCAGAGTGCTAGGATTACAGGCGTGAGCCACCACGCCCGGCCCTTTCCCTTTACTTACCAGTTTTCAGAGCAAGGTTTATTTATTAAGTGTCCACGTATGTGTCAGAATTCTTTTTGGAACTTTCATTGGAACGAACTACCTAGCAGTGAGGTTGTGTGGGATAAGGCCCACTTCCAATTCTTGGCAGCTACTGACATCTACCTAAAAGAACTGATCCTTGTACAGGACCAAACTGGCCCAAGTCAATTTGCATCAGGGGTGAGTGTGCTCGAAATGGAAACCTTCCTGGGAGGCAGCAGGGCGAAGACCTCAGCAGCCCAGACACAAAGCAGTCCTTGAGGTTGGGGCAGGCACAAAAACAGCCACACAACCTGTCCTGTAAGTTCGATGGAGTCCCAGAGGGCTGTGCTGCTAGGCGCTCTGAACTCACCTTTCATAAAAAGTTCATTTGAGATGAACTTGACCATTTCCTTGACGACCCTATTCAGCTAGGATTATACCTGGCATCAGGCGACCAGAATCCTTCTGGAACTATCGAGTGAACGCAGGATCATTTAGAATCCATGCCTTGGGCACCATGCCTGAAGGTGGCCGAGGAAGGCTTACTAGATTCTTAGAGGCTGTTCAAACAAGAGTGAGAAGTATTTTAAATATTTTAGCTAACATTGCATGCTACCGATTTCACCAGTAAGAACTCATTTTCAACACCCACTGTGATAATTAATAAGCCACTAAATGCACAAATGAAAACCCATGTCTAACATCCGTCGTGCTAATTAATTGAGAATCTGGTGTTTCTCAAAGATAAACAGTGGAAGCCCTTGTAATAATTGCCCACTTGGCTTTTGTTCAGATGCTGGCACACGCCCCTGGAAGTGTGCGTTCCAGCTTGGGAAAACCGACACTTAAACAATTACTTCCCCCTGTGTCTTAGGCTGGGTTCTTTAGAAACAGACCCTGAGACAGCGAGTGGCATGCAGAAGGGTTTGGGGGGAGATGAGGCGGAAGGAAACGAGGAGGGCAGAGCTGGCCAGAGAGAAAATCCGATGCAGGGTATGGTTGGAAGGAAGCCTCATGCCACGCCACGCCACGGGAGCTCTGGAGCTGGGGTGAAAGCTAAGCCCTGTCCCAAATTGAGGCAAAGGGGTCAGACCTTTGTATCCTGGTGCCATCAGCCATTGGCCAGGGCTACCCGGGAGAGGTCCAGATTCTTGCTAGAGTCGGGCCGGGCATGGTGGCTCACGCCTGTAATCCTAGCACTCTGGGAGGCCGAGGCGGGAGGATCGCTTGAG